CGGTGCTAGATGGGCCTTTGGTCTGACCCAGTATGGCCATTCTTATGTTCTAAAGCTCAGGGCTCAGGGTTGGAGGTCTCACTGGACCAACTTGATTTTCATGTGAACCTGCTCCTGGGTTCGCTTATGGCCTTTGGTGGCCAGGCTGGCAGCTATCGTGCCATAGATGGCCGCATTCCTCCGTCTAGGGCTGAGATCATGGATGTTGGGGGCATCCCCCCCAAACCTAAGTAAGGTCTACCCTGATCTCCACCCTGGACCAGAAAGGTGCACACCTTCTCCAGGCCCTGTCAGGCTCCTCTGGTCCAGGAGGGAGACCATGGGGAGGGGTGGAGGGCTGGCTGCCAGTGGCTTGCTGGCTCATGTTTTGGGGCTGCTGGGTCTGGGGCAGTGACTGCTGGCTCTGGGCTGGCAGGCTTGGAGCTGGAACAGGCACTGAGGCCAGAGTCAACCCCTTTAAGGGCTCTGGGGATGGGGGGAGGGAGAGGAGTGTTCTTGGTTGAGGCTGGAGTGTCCACCAGGGGACCCTGGGAAGGTTGGAGGCCCCCTATTTTGAAATAAGTGTCTACACAGCACTTATTTCGATTTAGCTATTCCGAATTTGGCATTATTCCTCATGGAATGAGGTTTATCAAATTCAAAATAAGCGCTCCGCTATTTCGAATTAATTTCAAAATAGCGGTTTGGCTGTGTAGACGCTAGTAAGGTTATTTCGAAATAACGGCTGTTATTTTGAAATAACTTTGCTGTATAGACATACCCTTAGAGATTAGCCACATCCATTCTGATTTAATTAGCACTGTCGTCATACTCCCGTTTCTGAATCCTTCTCTCTCCCCTTCTGTCTGTCTGTCTTTTTCTCTTCAGCATCTGAGGAAGTGAATTGTATCTCATGAAAGCTCATGCCCTAATGCCCTAATAAATGTGTTTGTCTTTAAAGTGCCACCAGACTCCTTGTTGGCTTTTTTAGGAAAAGACTACTAACACACTGCAGAAGAAGGTTAATGATCTTGAGGGAGGATCAAGGAGAAGAATATCTGAGAATTGAGGGTCTCCAGGAGGAGCTGGAAAAAGGGAAGTTTATGGAATTTTTAATGTACTATGTTGCCAGCTTTTTTGTCTCCTCCCTCTCTCCCCCATTAAAATTGAGATAACGCATTGCTCATTTATGAAAAAACCCACTCCAAATACAAGTCCTAGGTGATAATTTTAAGATTTTCAAAATACAGTTTTAAGGAAATCATTCTGAAAAAAAAAAAAGTTGCAACCTTAAAAACCTAACATGGAAGGGACCTGGGCTGGTGTCTTTCCCAGATTAAATCAAGGAAGTGAACTAAATTCAACAGATCAAGAGCCATAGCCACAGGACTGAGTTTGGACTATTTAATTTCCTTCCCTGCTACTTTCAAAGTTAAAAAGGTAAGCAAGATGGTTTTATGACAAAATAAGTTGAAAAGTGAATCATCTCACTGCACAAGTGGTGGAATTTAGTTATCAGACTAACAAAACAATTGTAGAGGACAAGTCCACCATTTTGTCCCTTTAGTTTTCATTGCTTTGAACTTCCCTGGTTCATCAGCAGAGGGAGCTGGCTGGGAAGAAGGATTTCATCTCCGATTTTAATTTTGACCCTCCATGTAAAGTCAAGCAGCAGCTATGTGCTCCAGCTGCTGCTGTGATTATGCTGGACTGTTACAATATGCAGGGCTCGACAAATCCGCTTATCTACTTGCCTGTGGCGAGTAGATTTCAGCTGGTTGCCCCGTTCACCGGCGGTTCGCACATGCGCAGTGCGGGGCTGGCAAGCAGTTTTCACCACGATCGTCGAGCCCTGACAATATGGACACACTTGCATCCACTCTATCCCACCCCTCATTAATACAGTGTACTGGGAGCACATTCAAGACCCTCGCTGTAACCAAACTGCTTACCTCGGCCTGTGGATGAGTAAAGATCAACAGAGACGTGTGATTTTGTTTTCTGCCTGAGGCACTCTTGTTCCTGATATCTTTTCCGACCTCTCCCCGCCTTTTTTATTTTTAAAATCTTCCTCCCCTTTCCTCATCCTTGATAATTTTGTTTCATGCCCATCTAATTTCCTAGATTTTGGATTTGTAGTAAATCTTGAAATGCTCAATACATTGGCCCTAAATGTACACTTAAAAGAGATAGCAGATCTAAGTAGTGTAGTTGAATGATGAACTGTTTTAGTTCCTCAAACACAAAGAAATCTGATCTCCTAATAGCCTATTCGAGCATTATTACTATTATTGCTGTTTGGTTTCACCAAATGACTGATAATGTATTATTATGACAATGCTGTATGCAGTGTAGTTATAGCTGTCTGATTTTTTAGTAATATTAGTTCTGTTTTTTCTTTAGTTTTTATTTTTGTTAGAATTGAAATAAATGTTATGCTGATTTTCATTGGTTATGTGACTATGGAGTTCATTAGGGATGTCAGTGTGTTGACAACTACACGATTAACCGATAAGCCTGGACTTATCAGTTAATCTTGTCAACTACATGCACTCTCTCTCCACTTTCTGCTTCTGTATCAGAGACAGCAAGGGGGTGAGAGCAGTGGGACCCGGTGCCTGTGAGAAGCTGGCTTAAAGGCTGGCTCCCCACAAGCACCTAATCCACCTGCTCCTAATAGACAGGCAGCAGTGTGGAGGGTGAGGAGGGCAGGTGGGACCCTATACACACAGGGAGCTGGTTTTCAAGCAGGCTCCCCATGCACGCTGGCTCTGCAGACCTGTCTTCCTCCTATTTGCTGCCTCCTATAGTGCCAGTGGGGGGTAGGCAGCAGCTGGTGCTGGGGGGAGCCATCTTAAGAGCCAGTTCCCCCCATCACCAGCTCTGTGGTGCCTCCTGCAGCGGTGGGGACTCTGTCTGCAGGGAGTACAAGCGCCCCATGGAGAGGGGCTGCTCTGTCAACCCACAGCCCCCATCCATGGAGGGTCTGAGCTCCCGACGGATAGGATCTGCTGCTACAGAGCAGCCTCTATCCACGGGGAGCTCAGACCCCAGTGAACATGGACTGCTGCCACCCTGCACTGCTGCCTCTGTATCAGAGGTAGCAGTGTAGGACGGCAGGTGGGATCTGGTCTGCTCAGGAAGCTGTTTTTTAAACTGGCTCCCCTCACAAGACCGGCTCCTCCCTACCACCTCACACTGCTTCCTCTAATAAGAGAGACAGCAAATACACTGGAAAAAGTAATGAGGGAAATGGTTAATTCTTAACAAGTA